AACAACAGAAATACAGAATTAATATTGACGTCAATATAGACCAGCAATTGAAATAAGCGGAACAACCAAACATAAACAATGGCTTTAAACACAAATTTCTCGAGAATCAAAGCACATTCAAGCAATCTGATCATCTGATAGAGACAACTTCTTTTATCGAATGGCATTGTTAGTTTGCGTGGGTGTGTTAGGATTCTCGAGAAATTAGCGTTTAAAGCCATTGTTAACGTTTGGTTGTTCCGCCTACTTCAATTGTTGGTCTAGATTTGAGATGATTCTATTGTTCTGAAACTTACTTAACTTTGCTACAATTTTTCAACATCAGTTTGACATTAAGTTATGTTAACTGCCATAATACAGGGCTTATAGCAGGTCACTTTTTAGTGACTTGGTCACTATTTTGAAGCCAGTCACTAAAAAGTCACTTTTTACACCTAAAAGTCACTAAAGTCACTATTTCCCTAAAAATAGTCACTAAAGTCACTTTTTCACAAAATGTTTAAATTGAGTACTTGGCATTAAGAAAGTCTACAGTAGTTTTAACAAAATATACATATCTGTTAAAAAAAATGAAAATTTTAACCATGGTGACCAGTGAATCGCAAAACGTTAGAACACCAGGAAAACTATTGGGAAATGCCTTCAATTTCGATTTAACAGAGAATTTTAAAGGATTCTAGGGCAGACACCAAGATATATCAGACAAGAATACCAAACTACAGACTACGGAAGTCTCATGTAAAATTAACTGTTCTGAGGACCGATTTCTTCATATCCGCTTAAATATTAAGCCAGGTTTACCTATATACTTAAACTTGGCTTAACACATACGGTCGTCGCTTTTGATTACTGTTTAAATTAATAGAGACTCAAAATTCAGCTCCGAAACAATTTTGGAAATAATTCTAATGTAATTGAGAGTGCATTTTAACGAGAATTCTGAGAAGAATTCTATGATGATTGGGTGAGGATTCTAGGTCTAATTATAATAAGAATTCAAAATTAGTTCTGAAATGGCTCTGATGAAAATTCCATGAAAATCCCGTGAACTCCAAAGATGGTCTCTGCGGATAGTTCTAAAAGAATTTTGGGGTGAGTTCTGACGATACTTTCAAGAGAATTCTAAAGAGTTCGAAATAAATTCCGAGAAGAATTCAAATGGAATCGAATTTTGGGAAAGGAATTCTGAGAAGAGTTTCAAAGTTTGTGATGGATTTTTGTTTTGAGAATTCTGAGGAAATACTATGGGGATTCTAAGGAAAATACGAATTGAATGCAAGGGAGAAGCCCAAGATTATTCTAAGCAGAAATTTATGAAACTTCTGTAAATTCTAAGGATGGATTTATGGAAGGAGCCTTCAGGGAGTTTCTAAAACAATCAATAAAAAATTGAAAATAATCTACTTTAACTAATCATGTGTTATTACTTCATGCGTGAATTTAACGATTTACATAGTCGGAGATGCTTAACGTTAAATATCAGACTTCAAATGGAGATTTTATACGACCAAGGAGGAGATTCAATTATAGAGTTGATAGTTCCATTATAGTACGGCAGTGTGAAAATTGTTTATCATAGTAGAAAGCGAGCAAAGGACAATTTTGAGGAAGGTACGAATCGGGTAGTTGTTTACGTCAGATTGCGACTTGAGTGTGAAACAATCAATAGAACTGTTTCCGCACATCAGAGGTACATGAGCAAATCGGTGATCATCCCTTTTGCCAGTGGTGGCAGGGGGAAACACCCCTCCCATCCCTCATTAACGGATAGCTTGGTAAAGGAGATGCTCTACCCTATTCGTACCTGCCTCAAAATTATCCTTTCTTCGCTTTCTGAATTCTGTATACAAATTTTACACTGCCACACTCTAACGGAACTATCAACGTTCTACTTTCATCTCCTAATCTATCGTATAAAATGTCCACTTTAGTTCTGATATTTGATGTTAAGCGTTTCCAACTACGAAAATGATCTATTTCCAAAAATTTTGTTGATTGTTCTGCAAAGAATTTCAAGAATGCAATATTATGTTTGTAAAAGCCTATTTGCTTCTAAGTTTAAGTGAAGGGGAATTATTCTAAAAAAGTTCTTGAGATCATTCTGAAGAAATTCTGTGAAAATTTCATAGCAAATCATCAAAGTTATCTACCTAGATATATCAAATATTTAGAGATTTCGAACACAGAATCAAATTCAAGATCATTAAAATGGGAATTACTATTTGCTTGACATCATGTATAACGTAAGCAAAAGTAAATTATTCAAATCACTTCAAATGCTCTTCACAGGAGTTTCCGTTGTGAGATTCGATTAAACTAGAGGAATTTATGAAATTTGATATTGAGTTCCATGACATAAAAAGTTTATTTCAATATCAAACCGTATTTGAATTTCTATGTTACCATATAAATGGTTACTTATTTAGTATTTACAAGTCACTATTTGGTTACTATTTCCGTAATTTTAGTCACTAAAGTCACTACTATTATATCGCATCAGCGCTACCAGCCCTGCATAATACCAAAACTGAAAAAAAAAATGCGTGTGACACACAGCACGCCTGTCCAGTTGCCATGAATCGAGTTTGATCGTACCATCGCCACGTATTCTGCAGATTTCAATTGCAATATTGCATTTCAATTAAATAATGCATTTCCAGATTTCAATTCCAATAGAATTTTAAATTATTAGTATCTCAATCATTCCGTACAGGTAATCATACTTCAAAATAGGTTGCTATTGAAAATGGAAGTGCTGGATAAAATTGGATGAATTCTCAAAAAACTTGATGATTTCAAACTTTGCTTGTTTGAGAATCCACTTTAAACTGGAAAGTTGGCATCACTGCTTTTTACATAAAAAGAAAACCGTGATAATTGTTCCTAAAAATTACCATGAACAATTCGGGCCATTAAAAAAAACTTCCGCAATTTTTGTGAAAACACATCAGTTCCTTCGCGATTATCGCGACATTATTTAATGTTTCCGCGATTTTTTCGACTGTAAGTACAAATCAATTAATAATAACGCTAGAAAATCAATCATAAAAAATATATATATTTTTTTTGAAAAACGCTACCAGCTTACACTCTTTACTAAAATTTTAGGGCATTATTTTAGCATTCTTTGCAAAAAAATATAAAAATCGAAAGAGGGTGTTTTGAAAAAATCAACGTTTAATGTTTTTTTTTGCTATGAATTTACTGTGTTTTTTTCTTTCACTGTATTTTTTTCCTCAAAGAACATTTAATTACCTACAGCTTTTTCTCAGATGGCATTTTGGTCATATCAATCATTTTCATGTTATGATTTTTTGAAAAAATATAATTTTTTTTTTGAATACACCTTTTTCAAAAGTTTATCTGTTGAAAAAAATCATATTTAAATGAGAAATGCAACCATGGGTAGCAGCGAACATATGAGTAATGTTTCATTCAAATCGAAAACACTCATGTCCAACCGGTTTACGTTTTGGGCTGGAAATGCTCAATAACATTTCTCGGTGCGTTTGATGTTGCTTTTGCAATGACTCGAACCGCCGATTTCTTGAAAATGACAACTCACTTCTGCAAATTAACTATGCCAACTGGTAGAGAAAACATTCATCTACCTGATGGTGTCTTAAATTGGCATGTGTGAGCCCTTGTTCGCGAGAAATCGATGGCTAAAGCCAATGTTTACTAAAGCAATTTCGCCCTTTTGAAATGTTGACACTGATAAGATAATTTTTTTTCAGAAAGTTGACGTCCATATTTCCAATTCACATTACACGCTATTTCAAAACTACCCAAATTTGGGTAGTTTTGAAATAGCGTGTAGGCAAATAAACGGCATAGAGGGTCATGCAATTTTAATGAATTCTATCACTATTGTAACGCCTGTTCTTGTAATAGGCCGTATCAGTAATTTCAGTAGTACTCCTACGACGTTCTGAGGATGCTAATACAAACCTTTCGAAACCATTTCAGTTAGTTTTAATTCCTGCCATTGTCAAATTTGAAAATCTTTCTTAATTCGATTAGTTTCAAAACCCTTAAATTAATACTGGAATCCATGTACAGGTACGAACCATGCCGTATGGACATACGAACGATAGCAAATGATCTGTAACCTAAAATCAAATTAACTACCACCAACGTCGAACTCATCGACCTCCAGGAAACCGCCCCATGCCATGCCATGCCAGTATATTATAAAACTGGGTCACATGACTCGGGCGGTAGTTCAACGCAAATCAGCTGTAGCTGTACGATCATACCATAATTTCGCGCTCATTGTTGTTCTTGGGTGTTTAGTTAGAGTCGGGTTTTTATTTTCCCTGGACATCGGAATCGGTAAGCATGAAGAAAAATAAAACCTTCCGCCAGTTACATCACACCAGAGAGTTCGTTGCTCACTCGATCGCTCATTGCTCGCCACGGCAGTCAAGTGGTCCTAGGCATCATCGTTATTTTTGGCCAAAAATGAATCACAAATCCATCGTTGACTCCTTGACGAATGTCGACACCTAAGTAGTACTTACTCTCTCTCTCACCTACTGACTAGAGGTGGATTCGTTCTCCTCCCCTCATAGATGGATACACGGAGGAATGTCAAACAATAACGCGCGTCATCTGACAGACAGACAGTCATCATCATCGCACCTCATGCAGGCGTTGCGCACGCTAATTTTAACGCGATCGCCGCAATTTTTCTTTCGATACACAAAGTTATAAATTATCGTCCTCTTCTAAAAATGCGTGGCCTGCTTCGCGGTGAGGGAAAATCAGGAATGCACTTCACTTTCCGATTCGCCAAAGGGTATCCCCTCAGAGGTAACAACGTAGCAAGCGCTTGCTGTGTGAGTGTGAGACATGCTCCCGCAGCTCCCGGTCTGGTGCGATTTGGCGGAGAAATTTCTCGCGAAAATCGAGCTTTTCTCCCCCAAATCGCGGAGCAACCGCGACAAACACAGACGGTGGGAGTATTCTTGCTCGGATTCTGCGGCAAAGATCAGTCCGCGAGTATCCGTCGACCGAGTCGGTTCCCCCGCTCTGCTGTTCGGTGGTAGTCACGGTTAAAAGTTTTCAGCAGATAAACTGGCCGGAGGAGGCGGTTGCCAGAGAACGAACCTAGGTGCAGGTGACAGGTGTGTGTGCCGCGCGAGCCAACGTCATCGCAGCGGGTGCGCGCGCGCTTTTTCGTGTTGGAAAAGAACGGGGGTTTTTTTTTTCCTGTGGTGTTGTTCTATTTTCGATCCTGGCCGCAAAAATTGAAAAGAACGGACGAATGTAGTTCGCGTACGTAGATAAGTCGCCGTCAGTTTCGTCGGAGTTGGGAGGGGGAAGGAGGGGGGGGGGGGTAATATTTCGAATAATTTTCACTTTCGCGCGCCCTCTGGTGGCAGTTTTTGAGGATCTTTTTTTTTTTGTCAACGACTACTTAGATCTTCTCGGAATTTGTACCTTCGCATCGCGCAGTTCACTGTGACTTGGAATGTCAAGCAGCTGATGCGAGGAGTACACGACACGAGTACGAAGATCTAGAGAGGCGTTGGAAAGTGCGAGTGCTCCGCTTTTCCGCGACTATTTTGCGTGATATATGAAGTGATAGTTGATGATGATGATCATGATGATGATGACCAAGAAGAGTTCAAGAAACGCGGAGTCTCTTCTGTGTTGTTGTGATATTGGGCAGTGAAGGAAGAATCAAAATGATTGAAATGTGATCTACGTCTTGACACCCACAGGAAAAGTACCAGTTGCGAAAGAGAAGAGAAGAAGCTTTAAAGAGAAAAGTGTTTATTTGCGGCGAAATCCTAGAAGCAAGTTAAATTTATTGTCCACTTGACGTACGTTATGGTCCGTGTTTGTAATTGTGAATCAAGCTAAACGACTAGAAGCAACCATGCCGCTATACTCAGAGCTGTATTACAACTACATCGGCAATGCGCCGATCATTCCGTCTCCGCTATCATCGTCCATTTTGACGTCCTGCAACTACGCACCTCCAAGCTACGTTGGAGTGTCCCGAGGATTTCATAGTCCCATCATCGTAGGTCGAACACCGTCCTTTACCCGGGGCTACATCCCGAAACTCACTCCCATCACAGAGACTCCGCTCATCTCGGCCCGTGTAACGGCCTTGACGCGAGCCAACTCGTCCAAGTATCATCCTCACACTTCACCGACCTACCAGAAGCCACGACGTGTCATCAACACCGCAGACATCGATGTCTCAGCCAGTCGCTATGTACGAGATCACACTCCAAAACGGTTCCTCCCATCATCTCCAACCTCATCCGCGTCACCGGATCGTAACAATAACATCACCAGCACCTCCATTTCCACCTCCTGCACCACTTCCTCCATATCCTCGCCCACAACAACCACAATTAGCGCCCGGGAGCAGGAGCTCATGGACCGCGTTGAACAACGCAGGCAAAGATCCACCATCAATCGTAACCGGACCGTCGTTCGGCTCAACACAATCCGTGCCCGGAGCAAGTCTCGCGGCAGTCGAGGCAGCACCGAACGGAAATCTCCCCACCGATCGCCAGATCCGGAACCGTCCTTCGAAGAAGAAATGCTACTCTACAAGGAACCACAAGCCAAGAATACCTCATGGAGGGATCAATTCCGCGACGAACTCTTGCTGCGGCCCAAGAAGGCCGAACCCATAAAAAGCCCCGGAGAACTACTGCTGGAGAAACATCTCATCCGTGAGGATGAAGACATGCCAATTCTCCTGGAACAAATCATCGTTAGCACCTCCCCAGTCATGAAACGCCGCGGAACGATCCGAAGAAAGAGCGCCATCAAAATCCCCAGCTTCCACGAAATCTGCGAAGACATCAATTCGGACAAACTGGACGACGGCCTCAACGCCGGAGAACTCCGGCGGCGAGCCTCGCAAATCATCGAGGACGAAATCGCTCAATTCCAGCAGGAACTACAAAAAGCCAACGGAATCATCAACGACGACCTCGAAGAACGGCTGAAGGATGCACTCGAACAGCAGATCGTCGAGTCCTCCGTCATCGAAGTCCCTGAAAAGAAGAAACAGAAAAAGATCAAGCGAACCAGAACGAAACCACTACCGAAGATCGACGTCGACTACAAAGTGGTGTACGATCAGGTGGACGCCAATGGCGCCCCCATCAAAATCACCATGGATTCACCGATTATCGAGACTTCAGTGCCGCCGAAGATAATGGCCGAAGTGGAATTGATCGAAGAATGTACCGTACTGAATCTGCCCAATAAAAAGAAGCGAGCAGACGGCTACTCCAGTCCGGAAACCACTCCAAAGAAAACAGATCAAGGGACGCTATCCGCGCCTCCACTGCAAAAGATCGAAGTGCTTATCATTGACCTACCCGAACCGAATTTTGTGCCGATGAAACCAGCGGTACAAGAACCCACAAGAAAGATTGAACAAACGAAACCACCGGCAGCGAAGAAACCGGAACCACCGGAGAAAAGGGTGCTGAGCGATTTGGCCGAGAGAAAGAAGACTTTGGAGCTGCAGAAGAAGATGGAGACACTGGCGAAACTCACCGAGCGGAAGCTTCCGGCTGAGTCAATCCCCGCCGTCACTACTACGTTGGAATACAACAAGAAGACTGAGCTAAAGCAAACAAGTCAAGCTGACGCGAAAAGTCAGCCCAAGGAGGAGATTAAACCCATGGAAAAGACTGAGGAAAAAGTGAAGGAGCTTGCTAAAGTGGCACTTCCCAAACCATTTGTGCCTGTTCCAGCTGAGAAGGCCAAATCGGTGGCAGCAGACGCTACCAAAACTCTTGACCCAACGACACAAAACAAATCAACCCCGAAAGTCCCCGATCCGTCAAAGGATCCTCCGAAATCGGTAGATCAGGAAGCGTTGAAAAAGTGTACCACCGAGTCAGATTCTTCCAAAAAAGCTGCAGTTGAAGTGCCTCCAAAACCGGCTCTACAGTTGAAAAAACCAGCCACGGAGGGATTGGATTCTCCCAAAAAGGTTGCAATTGAAAGGCCTCTGGAATCGGTACCTCAGGAAACGGCTAAGCTTCCATTGAAGAAGTCTACCGGTGAGCCAGCTTCTTCCGAAAAAGTTGTAGCTGAAACACTTATGAAGGATCCTTCAAAATTGGTACCCAAAGAACCTTCAAAACTTCAAATAAAGTCTACCGTGGAGCCGGATTCTTCCAAAACAGTATCAGTTGACAAACCTACTACGGATCCTCCGAAATCGGCAGCCCAAGAACCATCCAAACTTCAGACCAAGAAGTCTATCGCAGAACCGGATTCATCAAAAACAGTCGCAACTGAAACACTTTCAATGTATCCTCCAAAACCGGTGGCCCAAGAACCTTCCAAACTTCTGTTGAAGAAGTCTTCCACGGAGCCGGATTCTTCCAAAAAAGATACAGGAGAAACGCTTTTAAAAGAACCTCCGAAATCGGTAGTCCAAGAACCTTCTAAAATTCAATTGAACAAGTCTACCATGGAACCGGACTCATCCAAAACAGTTGAAGCGCCCGAAGCGCCGAAAAAGACGGAAGTCCCAATTCCAAAGCAGGTGCCCTCTGTCGCAACTCTCCCGAAGAAACAGATTCCAAAGCAGCTACCACCAGTTCCGGACCTCCCGAGCGATTCCTCCCAGCCAACGACTCCCACAAAAATACTCAAGAAAGCAACCGACAACAAAACACAGCCACCAGACTCCCCCAAGTCTCCGAAATCCTTCGCCAAACCCGACGAAGCTGTTCCGAAGGCGACGGCGATGACGACTCCGGAGCAGCTTCCCAAGGTGGTTCCCGAAGTGGCGAAACCAAAACAACCGCTTCTCAAACCGGTTGCAGTGCGTAAGAAGACGGTGGATCTAAATCTTCTCACCCAGCAGCAGCAGGATGAACAGGACTTCTGGGGCAACATGAAAACGCGGGAAACGGTCGCGTTCGCGCGCCGGAAGGAACACATCGAGCGAAAGAACCAGATGATTATGCTCAAGTTTTGGGAACAGGAGGACGAGAACACCGGGGAAGAAGCGCAGAATGGTTCGCCACCGCCGAACGAGAAGTCGAAGGTTATCACTACGAAGGTGATGACGTCTCCTGTGACGGTAGGAATAGAAATGCCACAGTGGCCGAAGCCGATGGAAGAAGAGGACGTTTCCACTGAGGTCGTTGCAAGAAAGGCGTTCGAAGTAACGCCAGTAAAGCTGGAAGATCTCAAGAAGAGTACAGCGGTGGAGGAATCTCCGAAAGAGGTTCCGAAGTTTGGATTAAGAAAAGTACAAAAGCTTGAGGAATCTCCGGAGGGAAGTCTTAAAAAAATGACAGGGCAAGAGAAGATGGAAACAAAGGACAATCTTAAGAAGATTTCTTCAGCAGACTTTAACGAATCGCAAAAAACTAAAGATCCTCAGGAGACAGCTACCAAGGCAGGTTTTCTCGGACTTAAAAATGCCCCCGTGGCAGACAAAATTAAGAATAAAGAGTCAACCGAGGAAGCTTCCAAAGCAGGCTTCGTCGGTCTCAAAAAAGTGGTAGAGTCCAAGGAAGCTCCGATCGAGGATGCTCCCAAAACGGGTTTCTTCAGTCTGAAAATGACTCCCGCGGTAGAATCGAAAGAACCTCCAAAGGAGTCAACTAAGACTGAAGAATCACCGGAAGAATCTCCCAATGCAGGAATCATCAGTCTTAAGAAGACCCCAGTGGTGGAATCCAAGGAAGCTCCAAAGGAGCCGCAAAAGACTTTGGTTTCAAAAACTTCTCCAAAGACAAAAGAACCACAGGGAGAAGCTCCAAAAGCAGGTTTCTTCGGCCTCAAGAAGACACCTGCGCCTGCGGCGGAGGCGAAGGATTCCGCAAAAGAACCACAAAAGACTAAAGAACTACCGGAAGAGCCTCTCAAAGTAGGTTGCTTCGGTCTCAAGAAGACCCCAGCTGTGGCGGAGACTAAGGAAGTCCCACCAACTCCAAAAGACTCTGAATCGAACAAGCTTCTTGTTCCAGCAGGTCAAGAATCACCTAAGATGCTAATCAATCAAAAACTATCGCCAAAGGAGATGATCAAAGCCATAGCGCCTACGATCGCCGCCGAAGCGGAAAAGAAAATGGCACAGGTGCAGAAAGTTCCCAAGAAAACTTCGCCGGTCAAACAGGAAAAGCCAACCGCCGCCATCAAGCAGGAAGCTGCCCCGAAAGGGAAACAACCCGAGCCGCAGGCGGCCGTTGAACCCAAGCAATCGTTAGCCGGAGCCGAAGCAGGTGTCGTAGCAGGAGCCGAAGCGAAGAAAACGACGACGAAGATTGTGAAAAAAGTGATTAAGGTGGTGAAACCGAAGGGGCAAGCGGATGCAGCAGCCAAGGCCGAAGCGGACCGGCTCGAAGCCGAACAACGCCGGAAAGCGCAGGAAAATGTCGAAAAAATGAAAGCCAAAGTAAACCAGATTACGCTCAATATGGGTGCGAAGCTTGACGTGGAGATTAAGGAATGTGCCAAGTGCCAACAGGCGTCACTATCGGATAAAACGGCGGTGCTTCCTGTAAACAAACCGACGGCTACAGCGAAGAAGCCATCAACCGCCGATGATAAGCCGAAGACGGAAGGGGGAAAGCTGACGAAGAATAAATTTGGCGTCGTGTCCAATTTAAGTAATCTATCGGTGGCGAACGCTAGTAATCAATTAGTTAGCAACCAGGTGTCAACGGGCGCGGATCAGCAACAGAAGAAGAAGAAACCTCAGCAATCGAATCAAGTGAATCGGAACCGGCGGTACTCTTCCAGCAGTAACGAGGAAGACGAGGAAGATACTGCGGCTTCGGAGACATCGTTTTCAGGCATCGAGGACGACTGGTCATCAGACGGGGAGGAAGAAGACGAAGACATGGCCAACGACAAGCCAGAGAAGAAGAAGTTCGACCCGCAGAAGCGCGTTAAGTTGAACATTGAGCAGATGCGCAAATGCTACTCCAAAGAAGAAAAATGCCCAATTGTGTTGGTGGCACGTCCGAGGCCTCTGTGGAAGGTGAAGCGACGCGGACACGGACACAACCGGAAGGCAGACCTCACCAGCAGCAGCAGTGGCAGCGAAGACGAGTCCGGAACCGCCACGGATCAGACCTCGTCGGGAGCGGCGTCCACCGTGGATACCTCGTCCGACTTGAACACCGACAGCAGTGTCAACAGCAGTCGCGGTCCCAAGAACAACAAGAAGAAACAAGTGAAATCCGGCAGCAAAACCAGTGACGTCGGTAGTGACATCTATGACAATCCGATGGTGATCCCGTTGCACTCGGAACCCAAGAGTTCCGTGGTTGTCAGCAGCAAGGATGAAAACAACAACGACAGCACTGGCCAGCTGCCGGTCGACGGAGAAGAAGGTGAAAACGGTGAAAATGACAAGAACAGTGGGAACCACGAGATCCGAAGCACCAGCACCAGCAGCCACGATTCGGGCTTCTACGGCGGTGGAACGGCACCGATCAGCCCCAAGAAAGCCATGGGTAAGTGGTCATGATCAAGCTCGTTCAAGGTATAGGAAAAATCGATTCACACACAGGTCACACAGGCGGTACGGGGGATCGATTTCCTTTGATCTCCTCTTGTCCGCTTGTTATTGTCATTCCTTCTTCGCCAATAGCCGATTAACGCTGCGATCGTTGGTCCTTCGGTTCGTTCGGTCGATCGTTGAGTCATCCACGCGGTCCGATCATAATCAAAGTGGGGGGATGGGGTGTTACGCAACGTTGCGTAAGCTCTCTTTCTCTGTCTGTCTGTTTGTCTGTCTGTATCATTCTGACACCGGAAGCCCCAAGCCTTGTTGGTTGGTTGGCTGATTGGGTCGGTTGGTTGGAAAGCCGAAAACAATTAATCAACGACGGATCAGTAAGTTCGATCGCTAAAAATAGAGGGACGGAGAAACGGATGTTGTTTGTTTTGTCGTTCGAACAACAACGGACATGTGGCGATGGGGTGCAACTGAGTAAGACAAGTTGCTGGTAGAGGAGGGTACGTCGGTAGTTGTTTACTTGCCAATATATGCACCACGACGAGCGGCAGTTTGTGTTGTGTTGTGTTGTGTTTGATTCAACCTGTTGTGTCTATTCTTTCCGTCCGATCACGACATGAGGAAGTGTGGCGTGGAATATGTGCATTGTGCATACCCCGAATGGGTTGAGTACCCCCTTGCTCTTGAGTACCGCTTTGCCTCTTTGTCTACTTCTGGGATTGAAATGTGTGCACTCTAGGATCTACTGTCGATCAGTTTGTTTCGGGGGGGGTGAGATTCCTGAAATTGTTGAAACCTCTCGCTACTACCTGCACACGATCGGATGAAAGTGTTGCAACGGTTTGTGTTAGATTCATTACTGAATTTGACCGTTTTTAATTTGAACGCATTTTAATTTGAACGCCGTTAATCTGCACGCTGTGCAAACTAAAAATTGCTCAAACGTCATTCAGTTTATGGAATGGAGGAAAACGGCTACCAGAAAAATGCATCTCTGATGCTGATAGGATTACTAAAAGGCAATTTAAAAATTGCATGAAGTATCAGTTCAGATTAGCGGAGGTCCACGATATTCATACATTATTTAGCTACAGCCCAGTTAAAAAGCAGTTATACGTCAAAACTAGACGTCAAATTTCGTTGTCACAATTGGTGAGGAGCGAATGGAATTTTTCCGGTTGGAAAATTTCTCGACTTCCCTGGGCATAGAGTATGATTGTACTTGTCACACAATTATAGTAATGCAAAAATGGTACAGGCATCAAAAGCTCTCAATTAATAGCTGTGGAAGTACATCTAGAGCACTAAGTTGAGAGCACACAATAAGCTAATATCAAGAACAACACGTGAAAAGGGCATACAAGCTTTTTTTTTAAACAAACCTTCTTATGTCCTTTTCTCGCCACCCATATGCCACCAATGCAAACCATCAACATCACCTGGTAGGGGAAGCTTTTCCCATCCCGATAATGTTGTTGGTTTTCGTGGGCGATCTTCGGTTAGCGAGAAAAAGGCCTACAAAAGTTTGTTTACAAAAAGCTTGTATTCCCTTTTCACATGTGGCTCTTGATATGTAATAAGTTTGAAACTCGAAGAAGAAGGAGAAGAAAAATAAGGTTTTTTCGCTTGCCATAATTTCACCGAGGGATGATTCATCTTTGACATTAGACGTAAACCATTTTTATGGCACAGTTATAGAAGGCCAAGGTTGCAAATACTCATTTCAGCTAAAATAATGTTTTTCGGAATAATAAAACCAAAAGATGGTATGATGGCATGTTTAACTTGTAACTTACAAGAAGAGGTTATAAAGTATGCGTTTGAAACATAAAACCTGTAAATTTTGCTTTCTATGAGTCACAATCAGCGATTTTCTGATTGCTGAGTGAGTGAGTGAGTGAGTTAGTGAGTTTGTGAAAAATCGCTGATTGTGACTCTCATGAAGTGAAATAAACAGGTTTAATATGTCAAACACATTCTTTGCAACCTCTTCTTGTATCCTACCAATTCAAAATTTGATCATGGCATCTAATTATTTCATAATTTAGAAAAACATTGTTTTAGCTGAAATGAGTATTTGCAACCTTGTAGAAGGCTATGATTTATTGAATTGTTTTTGAAAAGTGCATGTCCCCGGACAGACCAAGGAGGAAGTCCCGCAAGATCAAGACTAGGCCAAGCTGTGACAGGAATATCAGGACTGCCAGAAGAAGCTCACACTGCAAAGGGAAGCATACCAGAAGGAAAGTCCCAAATTGCAGAGGGACGGTTTGGAGAATAGGTTCGAAAATTACAACACTCGGGAGTTGAGACATATTTGGAAAGCACAAATGGCGACTCAACTGCGGACGCAAAATACGAAGCTGGACAAGGTGATTGGCCGCCAGAAGCGAACACTCGCATTGCATTCGGTTCAGTTCAGGGTAGAGGAGCTGCACCACCACCGCACGTTACATAACAGCAACTCCAGATCGCTTCCGGAAGCACCATTCAGCGTCACGGAGTTGATGCGTTGCTGCGAAATCAGAACGTGCTAGTTCAAACGGTTACCGAGATCCGTCCAATTATAGACGAAGTGAATGCTTTTGCGGATTCGATTCTGAACAAACAGACCATATTACATATGTATTCGAAATCTCGGAATCAAGAAAGACACATAACCGAAGATATGTTGTTTATAAATTTATTTAATAAGGCTCAAATGAATTAACTTTACAGAGCCGAGGATTCTTGGTCACTATACAATACATTTTAAAACTATAGTCAAAAGGTGTAACACAATAAACACTTTATCTTCCGCTATCCAAAAAGCCTCCTCCATCAGAACTGGAGCCGCTTCCAGTGATTTCATTGTATGGCAGTTACGCCATCGGGGGGCAGAGCGCTCCCATTGCAGCAATGGACGCAAAACGTGGTCAACACTCACACACTCATCACGAAACGGTTGCTTTCCAAAGTCGACGACACATCGACCGAAAGAACTGCTGATGAAGAACAATGAGGAGGACCACACAATGGTTGCTGCCGAGAAAACAGACGATCGCGTGGTACACATCGAGAGTGGCCTGCTTTTGTCGACAGCCGAATGAACACTGTCTTTCCTTTCATGTCTAAGGCTTCATCAAATCTTATCACGCGCCGTTCGAACATTAGGAAAATGATGAAAGCTCACTTCTTCATGGCCATATTTTTCGTAGCACCCATCTACGCAACACTTTACAGGAATTTATCTGTATCTGTGAATAATGATTAAAATTAAATTATGCACTAAATCGATTCAACCAATATTGAAATTTGTTTTGCTTGCGCTGTCAAATTGCAGAAAATCTTCTTCAATCATGGCCATCTTGGTCTTTGCCGAGGGGGGCGACACATCTAAATCTCAAGTTTAGATGCTCAACAAATCTCACACTAGCGAATCAATCTTCGAAAAATCTTCTTTCATCTGTCGCATCTACTTGCATCGCGCATCATCTTTATGCAGGAAATCTTCAGAATGGTCATCAATCTTCTTTCTATCTACTCAGCGTGCGCGCAGCTAACCACAGCAAAACATATTTTTTCCTGTGTCGTAGATAAAGTCGTCCCCCTTGGTCTCGCAAAATCAATATAAAAAATCAAATCATCGCCATCTTGGTCTTTGCCATAATGGTTATCGTCATATGTCAGAAATGGGTGATTCGAATTTTATGGCGCTCGTGTGCTGGATTGAAAATACTGTACTGTTATCGAAAACAACGTTAATCACAAGGGGTGGGTCACTCCGCACACCAATCTTGGTTCATCTTTTTTGTCAGTGTGCCGCAGGTGTATTGATTGTACCGGTCATAGAGCAAGCTGCGATTGTTTGTAAAATAACCATCGCAGCAACCCGGTATTTCTGACACCTTGAATGTTTTGGTTTGAAATCGCAAGGATAAATCGGATTGAGGAGGACGCGGGAAGTGGCGAGTTTGCGAAGTTTTGGTTTTTTTGTGTTCATAGGATAATAAAAGTCCTGTGTTTTAGGGTTTTATAATGCCCTCAAAGGCAGACCAGAAACCTAGCCTTTCGTGAAGCGAAAGCAACGGTCTATCAGCGATCGGAAAGAGTTGGAAACGGTGGGGAACATTGTTGGAGACCCTGTAGTCGGTGGATAAGATAGGATAGGATGATGAATAGACTTCTGTAGTTTTTTTTTTGAGTTGCAGCATTATTTGAATTAAAGGTACTAATGGGGTCTGATTAACTGCCTCTTTCTCCCACTCTAGAACCTACATTTCGTATTAAGATCTATAAGTGAACTGCTGGTTTGAGTTCCTCTGGTATATTCAATTAGAGGATGTTCCTGAATATACAGTCAAACAGCACGTAATGTTGTGAACTACTTCAATGACAGTTGTCCAGCAGTGCTCCCATTTTATTTACAACAATCCAATGCCTACAAGATTGTGCCGTAGGTATGCCGATGCCAAGCTGTGTCGAATCTAAATTCGGCACAATGTGCTTAGTGACTTACCCCTTTCGTTAATCACGTAAAACAGAACCGAGTGTATTCCTTAGAAATCTATGGGAATCATTCTCGAGTTCTCCTAAGAAACATCGTTGAATTCTGCTCAGAACTACCTTGGAATTCTCCGTAGAACATACTTGGGGATTTATTTCAATTAATTTGAATTAAAATTCTCCTACAATAAATAATTAAATTCTAGTCCGAACTAATAATTCTTTTGAAGTTCTCTTCAAATTGAACCTAAAATTCTCCTCATATTGCCACTCAATTTTCCTTAGCAAAGTGTTTTTTTTTTATTATTAAAAAATTCCCGTAAAATCGCGCATCGAAATCCCGTGGTATTTCTTGTTAGAATTCTATTGGAATGTTCCTAGAATTCTCTTCTGGGTTTTTAGCGAAAAAATTTTTTTGGACTGCCTGAGAATTTCCATTAAAATTAATATGATGCTTTCCTCGCAAATTCATTAGAATAATCCTTAGGGTTACCCAGGAGGCTCTCAGAA